TGAGTGTGTAACCAAGCTTTTAATCCGGTGGTTGGATGCCCAACGTTCGAGTCCAAGATCTGGCCTATATATGGGCATGCATTTAGATTGAACAACTTGCCAGCCTCTTGAGCTTTCAAGGCATTCTCCTCCTCCTACAACTTCTCTTCTTCGTCTGAGTTTTTTTGTTAGTACTGTTGTTTTGTATCCTTGTATTGTGCAGGAAGTGTTTGTTTAATCTTGAAGAACTACTGATCCGTCATCCTAGTGTGTTTGAATAATTTTTAGAGCCATTGTCCTTTTAAGTATGACTCAAACAGTTTGCCGTTTGCGTCCATATAGTCAACAGTTATAACCAATGCATTTTTAAGCAGAAAATGAAACGAGAAGCCAAGCAAGATATCAAAGCAACAGAAATCAACCACAGCCATTCAATTTTTAACCAGCCCTACTTAGGATACATCAAAGAATTAAAATCAATTAGTAAAAAAAATATTAAGATCCAAAGCGTCTTAAAAGGAATGATCTGAAATGAAATAATAACAACAATGATAATGATAATATAATTAGTCCCTCTTGTGATAACGTAAAGCTCGAGGTTTTGGCAGGAAAGATAAACATGTATTTAATGTTTAAATAATAAAAAACAATAAAATAAAAAGAAAACAACATTATTCAAGGGCACGAAAATGAACGTAAAGTCAAAGTCGTACAAGAAATGGAAAGTAAGAAAACAAAAAGAGACGAGGACACTGACATGATGACACATGATAAAAGCAAAAAATAAAGAAAACTGACAATATTTTCGAACCTGTCAAAATCATTTCAGCAAGAAGACAGCATACGACACGGTCTAGCACTCTAGCTAGATTTTCCTCCTTGATTTTTCAAAGATATGGGTATACGGATAGCAAATGAGGCAGGAGAATCATGGAATCACTCACTACGTGGGTCACGATTCCCGAATTAAGATGATTAGATGAGAGAGTTATTTTAAAACCTCACGTAATCTTAACACCAATATTTCAGGCTTACTTTTTAAAAAAAAAAATTGTAGGAATTTGAATTTTTTTTTTGTATATTTTAACCAACTCTAAAATTTGTAGGAATTTGAATTGATATTTATAAAGAAGAAGAATTACCATCAGTCTTTACACACACATATATAATATGAGATGAATTAATATATACAAACATACACACATATATATAAAAGTGACGAATGATTCAAAATTTCAAACCCTTATAATATATCATATATAAATATATCTAATTTATATATTTTAAAAGGTCAATTATACTATTTATGTGAATGGTATCAATTGTTGTAAATTTTAATTTAATTTTACATTAATGATTTTATCTTTGAGATATAACCTTGAAATATTACTACTAAATTGTTCAACATCTCAATGGTTTTTTTTCCCCTTAGAACAATGAGTTTGAATGCACCTTCTCTCCAACATTTGGTGGGTATATGTGTGGCTTTGTGTGCGTGCGTGCGTGCGTGAACCTAGTTAATGTTTTCAAGGAAATGGATGCACAAATGACAAGTGAGACAGGAGAACCGTGGAATCACTCTCAACGTGGATCACGAATCAAGATGGGAGAATTACCTTAAGATTCATTTAACATAATTAATTACTTTTAAATTTATTGATATTATTATCATTCTTCTAAATTAGATATTAAAATATAATGTCCATGGTAATTAAGTTTCTGATAAAATCTAAATTATGCTCTTAGTTAGGTTAATATATAACTAGTTTGCAATCTCCCTAATTGTTTATAACTAAAACTAATTTAGGCTGATATATATATAGCTGAAATATTAATTAAACATAAGTAAGCTTGAAAGGAAGAGTAAAAATCTCACTAATTGTTTGTAACTAAAACTAAGTTAGGCTGATATATATATATATATAGCTGAAATATTAATTAAACATAAGTAAGCTTGAATGGAAGAGTAAAGAGAGTAAAAGGGGGCTTCAGAATGAACAAAGTAGAGGATTATATGAAAATATATAGAAATTGTGGTTGCATCTCCACAATTTTTTCAGAACTTTCACTTCTCAATTCTGTAATTTCCTCGCCGTGGCCGCCATCTTCCTGCTGTCACCTCAGTGCACTCCCAGATTATGTATTGGATTTAATATACTTTGGATTCATTAATTATTTTGAAATAATATGATGGCTAATTTAGTCCACTTTGTTATTTTTGCATTGTTTTCATGATATTAAATATAAAAATGAAGTAATCTTTCTGTTCTTTTCTTATAATTGAAATATGTTGATATTCACTCACTTATTTTCAGCCTTCCGTAAGAAAGGATATGTGTCAAGCAAATGAAGGCCACATAATCGAAGTACATGTGACAACGCATGTGAGGACGTGAACTATTGCTTGTCCTAGGACACACGTGGATTATTTAAATCCACACCCTTTTACGACCGTATCTCTTCAAGGCTCAAATATTTAAATTAAAAAAATTTATATACTTAACTTTATATTTTTAAAATATTTATTTTAAATTAAATTAAAATATATGTATGTCTTATAAATTATTTAAATTTTAAAAAATTCATATTATTAATATTATTATTAACATATTAAAAAATATATATATATTAAGCATATAAGTATGTAAACATTTTTCTTAAATTAATAATGGTTAGTTTTTAGAATATTATATTTCAAATGGAATTAATGGATTGAGTTAATTAAGAGATGTGAAACGAGAAGGGGAAGAGAGAGAAGAGGAAGAGGAGAGAGAGAGAAAGAGAAAAAAAGTTGAAATTCTCGAAAATTCTATCCAATAGTACTAAAAAAATTGAATATAAATGATAAATCTAACTTTATTTATAAGACTCTAAAAATAATAATAATTTAAATTTAAATTTTAAATCCCAAATATAAAGATAATCATAAAAATACTAATATATTAGATAATAATAAAATAAATAATAAATTATAATTTTAGTGAATAAATATTTTTATTTAAATATTTTTAATGGATAACCCTAGTCAAAGTATTTTGCTTGAAATCTTTTACTTGATAAGCAAAATAACTCAGTTATAACTCTAAGAACACGAGCTGCAAATACTAAAGTTTAGAATATTATTAAAATATAGGAGGAGGAGGAGTATAACTGGGATTATAGCTAGTCTCATTAGAAAATTTGACCTAGAAAATTAAAGGTAGGTGCATGGGCACCTCAGTCATAGAAAATTACAACCTATTGAATGATGGAGAGAGAGATGTTTTTAAATTAGTAATTCACTGTGGATGCAGCTGGCTTATATTGACGAAGACTTTGATCCAACGCATATAGAAAATGATTTCTTTATTCTTTCTGTTAAGTGGGATCATCTCAGCTTGAATTGAAGTGTGAAGAAAGTTTCACAGTCCAATTTTATTTAAAAAAAAACATAATTTCTATAAAAAAACGATGTTTCTATAACTTTAGGGTGTAAAATAAGAAAAAGAAAATGAAAAAGCAAATTGGCCGGCAAATTCTAGGTTTCTCAAATCTTAAACTCAAGTTTGATTAAACATTTGCCTTTAACCTTTTAAAAAACAATGAAATATGATTTATTAATAAAAATTAATTTTTACCGTTAATTGATAAAAAATAAAATAAAAAGAATCTCAAAAATTATGGAAAAGACAAAATTATGGAGTCATAAATTTGGATCCCTTTCAAAAATTTCTTTAGTTATGCAATTTTTAGATTAAAGAATGTACCGATTGACGAAGACTTTGATCCATGTGGAATGGAATGCCACCAGTGATGAACATATTAGCTGAGCAATGAAATTACAAAAAATGACTTCTTTCTATTAATTGGGTGTCAAATTATATTATTTGTTAATTGCTATTTCCCTTACATTATTTGATGAGTTCATTATGTTTTGTCTTGCAAATTATATTATCCAACTTGTGTTACATCTATTATGACTTGCTATAAATTATTAACTTACTCCCTCCATTTTCAAATATAGAAAAAAAAAATTAATTTACAGTTTAAGAACATTGGTTAAGTATAATAATTTTGTTTGAAATTTAAAAATTTGGATTAAAGTATCCCTATAAATTTGTCTAGTGAAAATAAAACATTAATTTTATGGGAATAATTTGAGAAAAATGTGATAAATGCTTCTTATTACATATTATGTGAATTATTAGAGATTTAAAGATTTAATAAGCCATATTACATATTCCCTTCGTTTAAAAATGTAAATTATTTTTCACCGAATCTTACCCTCAAATAAAGTAGCTACCTACTTTCAAACTAATCTTATCTTTTTATATTTATTCTTATTAAATATCTTATAATAAATATAAATTTACTATCAATAGAGGTATTTTTTTTAAAAATAATGATTACATCTCGAAAGATTAAAAATATTTTATATTTTTAAATAAAGAGAATATTTAATAAATCATATTAAATAGTGGTTCATATTCAATTCTCTTATCTTTCATTTCTAGTAAGGGTACTTTAGCTATTTGTCTTGTAAAGTCCTTTTTATTTCAATCTCAACAGGCTGAGCGTTCACTAGATGGAATTCAAAGCTTTGCCAGTGATGGAGTACCCTTTTTTTACTAGGCTAGTGGACTTGTTAATTTTTTTTTTCTTTCTTTTGCCTTTCATTCTCCCAAAATTTTTCTTGATTTCCTTGTCTGCACTTCTGGTCAATTACAGCCTTTCACTTTTTTTTTTATAGCCAAGACTTTAGTTCTACTGTTATATAAATATATAATATATAATTATTTTTTTAAAAATTATATTATTTTATTATAATTGATTTGACTCCTTATTCAATTTTAATTGAACTCTTAACCTTGATTTCTGAATTTAACTGGTTCAATTATTGATCCAGTATTCAATAGCATAGTGACATCGCACCCTTATAGAAAGTTTGTGAATATATATATAATACACACACACACACATTTTAAATTAGTTGTTACAAAAGGGTAGAAACCCTGCTTCAATATTCACCTCCCTATTAGCCCCCACCACCTGTCGAGTCCTCTCCTCCATTGCAGCTAGTGGGTTCATAGCCTGGCATCTCCTCTGGTTGGGTTCGTCGCCTCTCATTGCCTCTCCAGCTTTGGGTTCTTGGTTGGCTGCTGAAAATTAAGGTACATCGCTTAGTGTGTCTCTCTCTCTCTGTGCTTCTATTTCTGTTCTAAATCTAGTCTCTGTGGTAACTTGGGCTGGAAAAAGGAGGAGCTAGAAAACATTATTATATGAGATTTGAAGGATTTGGAACTTGCTTTGAAGAGGTGATTCTGTTATAAATTTCTGGTGATTGTTTGAGGGTGAAGAAGCAAGGATCTTATTTCTGTTTATTTTTAAAGAAACACTAGAACAAGCTTTTGGGCTGCAACTTTAGCATATTGAGACTAACTGTCAACCACTCGATCTGATTTATGCTGTTATATGCCATGCTTCAAGCTCAATAAGAAAATTATCTGTTTGCTGCCGCACATGAGATGCGCCAAGACTCATGGAGTATGAGCTTGGCAAGAAAGTGCTAAAAAGGCAATTGTATCATTCCCTATTATTATAGGCATGTGCATCAAATTTAAATGGTTTGTTCATTTCTTTTTTATGGTACTAATAACACAAACGCATTGAAAGTAAGATTTGAATTAGATGATTATACCTAATACAAGCATTGAGTGTCTGCATCATCCGAACCGTTGAAATATAAATCAATAGTTTTGAATTTATATTCCATTTAAGATTAATGAATGAGTGAGTTTATTTAAAACATTGATCTAGATTTTAATGGTTCAGATGATAGAGACACTCAATGTCTGTTTCAAATATAGTCACTCAATCAAAATCCTTGAAAATGATGGTCTTTCTTCTGGGATTTTTATAAAAAGCTAATTAATTTGCTTAGGTGCCATGTATTGATATTTCAAAATGCTTAGCTTGGCTGTGCTATCTGTATCTCTTTACATGTTGTATGCCTTATATTCTCATAGAGCTTTTCTCTTTGTTTATACTATCAAAATTTATTGTATTTTGAATATTATAAATATTATTAAAATTTTGTACTTGTTAAAATTTATGACATCTATTATGACATCTATTAGAATATATATAATGATGATAGGATGTTTTTTTGAATTTGAAGTGATTTAAATAACCTCCAATTCAAAATACCCCTCCTCTTTTTTTTTTAAATGCCACTTTCTACGTTTTAAAATTTGAATTTGCAAGAGATCTTGCTTACTTTTTGCTACTGTACATTTAAAATTTGGATTTGCAAGAGATCTTGCTTGCTTTTCACGGGAAAGAGAGACTTTATATGCCCTTTTTTTATGCTAGTTTTAGAATCAATGTAAAAAGTATTTTTTACAATAATAATATTGAAAACTGTTTTGAGTTTTGATCAATTATACATCGAATTATTTTTTGGGAAAATAGTCAAACTTTACTATTAAACACTCATTGTTATTCATATGATACTAGTGATTAGTCAAGGTTTTGGCTGCGAACTACTCTTGCCCTTGACCATATATAGGTTTGAATTTAATTTCCAAGTTAACGTAATACTTGCAAGCTAAGGCTTGTGCACGTGCTCTTCTTTTCCCCCTTTTCATTTCTTCGTCTTGGATCTAGTTTAATTTAGACGGTGTTTAATTAGTCAAGAGTAACCCTAGATCCAACCTGAACTGAAAAATTTAAATATGGAGGGATCCAATATAATCTACTTGCTTGTTTAGTTTTTTATTAGCCAAAAGTCAATTTACCAAAATTTATTTAGTGAAAATCAGTTATTATATTATACCGTACAACTTTCTATTTGTAAGAGTAAAAGCAAACTCACTAAACCATCGGCTGAACCGCCGATTAAATGTAAACCAAAGGACTAGCAGTATAGTTTGCAAATGATCTTGCTTATATTCTTCAACTTCTATCTTGCACAAAATTAAAAATATTTGGATCCTAAAAATTTAGAAGAGGTCTTGTAAAATTTATTTAATTAATTTACAAACGATCTTGCTGACTTTACAATTGGTCTCCCATGGATTTGCATGTGATCCCGCACGAAGTTTAAAATATTTTTCATAAATTCACTTAAGATAGTGTTTGGATTGATAAGTTTGGATTTAAAATTTTACATTTCAAATTCATGCATTTAAAATTATTTGTTTGGGTAATTTAAATAGCAAAGGTTATTATTATTATAGATGTAGTGTTTTGAGGGTGCATATATAGAGTTAAAATAACAAGGGTTTATAAATGATTTCAAATTATGAGAGAATGAAGATAAAATTTGGATTTGTTAATATTTACTTTAATATTTATAAATAATTTATTTCAATACTTATATTGGATATTATTCATTTATTTTGTTAATATTTCTTTTTTTTAATGCATGTTTTATTAGTATTTCTCTTAATACCAAGTTTTTTAAAGAAAATTAAGGCATTCAATATCATGATATTCATTCGGCCAAAAAATATCATAACATTCACTAATTTTTTCGAGATTAATTGCTACAATATTTTTTTCCCATTTCATCATCTAAAAATTTTAAAATTTTATGACGCAAATGAAAACCTAGCAAATGGTTTCATATTTTTAACAAAATATTAAAATCAATTCCAGTAATAGAAGGAATGGATTGATATAACTCGTTCAAAAAATGTAATGTGGAAAAATCGTTGATTAAACATGCGACCATATTATTAACCTTTTCGTTTAAATGTCTTTTTTCATTCTGGTAAAAAAAAAAGTCTTTTTTCGTTAAATTGTTATCATGCCATGAGGGATAGTAAATAGATTTAACAACCAAATGGATTACACGGAGGCATTGAAATTTAGGGCCTATTTGGAAACTGTTTTGGGAACAGTTTTCTGAATAAAAAAATAAAATATTGTTTTGAAGAACAGAAAAATAAAATAATTTTTAAGTATTCTGTGATTATTGTTCTGGAGAATAAGAGAAAATAAAAAAAACACATATTTTTATTATTTTTTTATTCTCAGAACGATAAAATAGAAACAGTTTTAAACAGTCCCTTACATTTCTTTTTCTAGTTCTCCTCCCTCACGTTCAGTTCCATCAAAACCAATTTACAAAAGCTTTTGAAAATGTTCTAATCTTTCCTTCTTCGTCGGATGATTATATTTCTGACATACATGCCATTTTCTTCCACACAAATTCAGGCCTTGGTCTGCTGCATTCTAATCTAAGGAGATGGCAGAAATTGCAATAAACTTAGTGATTGATAAGTTGGTCCCACTTGTCTTGAATGAAGTAAAGCTCCACAGAGATGTGCCCAAACATATTAATTTCATCAAGCATCGGTTAAACTTGGTAAAAGCCTATTTAAAAGATGCAGATGAACAGGCTGAGAGGACAAGCGCAAGCTACCTGGTAAAAGAGTGGGTGAAACAAGTAAGAGAAATTGCTTTTCGCATAGAAGATGTGATTGATGAATGCTTGTTTAGTGAGACGAAAAAACGTGCTCGAAATCGCGAATTTATTGGAAGGGGTTTCTTTAAAACCATGTCTAGACATCAGATTAAGGACGAGATTGTGGCCATTGGAAATGCCCTAGACGATCTCTATAAAACAAGGGAGACTTTAGGGTTAAACTTATCGACAACAGAATTGATCCGTGGAGAGACCAGACCAGGATATGACCCTCGACAAGGTTCTCGTTTTATGGACGAGGCAGAGCTTGTAGGTATTAATGAAACCAAGCAAAGACTCATAGATTGGCTGTCGAGGGAAGAAGGGAGGAGCACGATAATTTCAGTGGTGGGCGAAGGAGGATTAGGTAAGGATAAATCCACTTCCTATAATCTATCATTGCTTATCAAATTAAATATAACACATTCCCCTCCTTTCATGCAAATATTTTAGGGAAAATTTCTGAGACCCTTGACCTAATTAATTTCAGTCAAAACCTCTAAAATTTTGAAATTTTATTGCACATGTGGGGGTTTGAAATGAAATAAATAAGTTGACTGAAATTACTTTATTGTCCATGATGAAGCTAAAAGCATGAATAATTCTTGTAGAGAAATTAACAAATGATGTATAAAAAATAAACAACTGATATATTTGGAATTTACAATTTTCACTAACAACATAACTCCACTAATGAGAGTTGCAAAATTCATAGTAGTATTATACTATTAATAAAAATTATAAATTTCATCTACATCTATAGCTCATTTTTCATACATTAATTATTAATTTATCTACATGAATTGTTTACATGTTTAGTTTTATCAGGAATAATAAGATCATTTTAGTCAGGTTTTTAATTTTATTTCAATGCCCCAGATGTACAGTGAACTTTCAATATTTTAGGAGCTTTGGTTGAAATGAAGTCTGCTGAACGTGTCTTCACTAAAATTTTCTGTATTTTACGTGTGAGTTTGTAACTTTGGCTCGAAACCTTTTCTTTTGTAGTGGATTCATTGCAGTCCACTTGTTTTTTTTTTTTTTGAAAAAATGACTTGTAAATTTTAGAAGATCAAATTAATGTTAGGTTCTCAATAATTTTTTTTTGAAAAATAAGTAAAAAATATGGATTTAGATAATTGCAAATTCATGAATTTTAATTGTAGATAAGATATGTAAGTTTTAAATGCAACAACTCTCAAATTTTAACTGACATTTTTAGGAAAATATAATTTATAAAATTAAGAAATTAAATTAAAACTTTATATGAAGTTAAAGGAGTAAAAGTATATTTTAACTTTTTAATTCAATCTTTTAGAATTGAAGTATCATTTTCTTTTGTTCTTGTTTTTGCACTGCAATGTGCAGTCATGACATTTATTAGCTCCTAGATTTATCTGATGATCTGCATCAAGAGTTAAGACATGTAGCAATAAATTAAAGTTGTTTTCCAAAATTGTTTTTATAAACTAAAATCAATGCATTCTACCTCGCGTGTCCCCCGTGTTCTCTCTTTAACCAGGGCAACCACAAGAAGTTATTTTCCCCTATGTAAAGTTTTTACTGGCATCAAGCTGCAATCATTGTTAGATAAATCCAATGGTTAAACTTTTTCTACCTTCCCTCCCCCTCTTTAGTGCAACAGTCTCCAAGTCAACATCCCTAGTTATAACTAATGAATATATATATATATATATATATATATATAAGGATATCATAATATAACCACATGCATGCATGGCACTTTCAACCCGAACTCTTTATTTATTTATTTTTTTTGCCATTTCACATTTTATTTCATTTTTAAAGGTAAAACAACTATTGTGAATAACTTGTACGAGAAGCAAAAAAGATGGTTTGACTGCTGTGCTTGGATCACTGTCTCTCGGTCACTAGAAGGAGGACTATTAAGAAGTTTGACGCAAAGCTTGTGTGGGTGGGATGACATTAAAGAAGCTGACAAGAAGGTAGAGGCAGATAAAATGACTTCCAAATTGAGAGAATATCTGTTGGATAAAAAATATATGGTTGTCTTTGACGATGCATGGAACGAGTATTTTTGGGCACAAGTTAAGTTTGCATTACCACATAACGGCAAAGACAACAGGATAATGATTACCACAAGGAATAAACGGATCGCAAAGCTGTGTAGATTAGATCATGCTCAATTCTACATCCATGAGCTAAAACCCTTATCCCAGCAAGATGCTTTTAAGCTTTTTTCTCGTAAGGTCTTTGGGCCTTCTGATCATATTGAAGAAACTAATCCATTGATGAAGTTGTCTCAAGACTTTGTTAGCCGGTGCAACGGAGTTCCGTTTGCAATTGTAGCTATTGCTGGTCTTCTATCAACTAAACGAAGAGATGCCTTAACATGGGAAAAGGTGCGCGATAGCCTTAATCAAAAAATCACCAACGATCCTTCTTTAAAGGGTTATTTCGAGGTGATATTAGAAAGTTATGATGATCTTGATTACCACCTTAAGTTATGCCTCCTGTATTTCGGCCTTTTCCCTAAAGCCTACTCCATTAGCTCCACAAGACTCATTAATTTGTGGATAGCAGAAGGATTTGTGAAAAGAAATTCAAATGACGATCCACGAACGATTGAGGAAGTGGCAGGAGAATACTTAGAGGAACTAATTCATCGAAGCTTGGTCAAAGTGTCGGCAGAGTATTCTGATGGCAGAGTTCGAAGATGTCATATCCATGATCTCATGCACACATTTGTTCTCAACAAAGGTATGGATCAGAACTTTTGCCAGGTGATCAGACCTAATCACTCATTTGATCTCTTTACACGGTCTAGGCGCCTATCCATCCTCGCGCCTCTTGACATTCCAAGTGCTAAAAATTATGATACAGTGAAGTCTTGCTTTGTTTTCAAGTCACAACAGTTGGAAAAGCCTCTTTTGCAATCATTCTTGTCCCATTTCAAGCTCTTGATAGCCTTGGACTTTGAAGGTGCGCCTCTCGATCATCTTCCTAAAGCTGTTGAGAATTTGTTCCTTTTGAAGTATCTAAATCTGCGAAAGACGCAGGTTAAGACCATTCCTAAGTTCATTGGCAATCTTCTTAATTTGGAGATTCTGGACCTGAAGCATACGCTGGTGATTGAATTGTCAGCATCCATTTACCATCTCATCCGCCTGCGACATCTCATAGCATATTCTTCTTATGGGGTGCAATTGAAGAAAGGAATATCTTGTTTGAACGCTCTACAGAAGCTGACCAAAGTTGATGTCTCTAATGAGGGTGGTGTCATCGAAGAATTGATTCATTTGACGCAAATGAGGAAGCTAGGAATCATCAACTTGAAGAGGAAGAATGGGAAATCATTGTGCCGTGCAATCCAAGAGATGAAGCATTTGTGTTCTTTGAGTATTGTGGCTTTTGGAAAGAATGAAGTTCTTGATTTGCCGTCAATAACTAAGCCTCCTCGATACTTGCAGCGTATCAACTTTGATGGTCCTTTAGAGAAATTACCGAATTGGATTCCTAAACTTAGACATCTAGTGAAGCTGCGTTTGGCCAGATCACGACTACGAGAAAACAAGGACTTGTTGTATGATCTGAAGGACTTGACAGAGTTAGTGGATCTTTCTCTCTTGCGAACATATGAAGGCGAAGAGTTGCATTTTAAAGCTGAATGGTTTAAGAAGCTCAAGGTTCTTACTTTACAATCCATGGATAGATTGAAGATTATAAGAGTAGAGGAAGGAGCAATGCCTTTGCTTGAAGATCTACACTTGGGGTTTTGCCCTCAAATGATACGTCTGCCTGACGATGTCGAAAAACTTAATGTTCTCAAAAGTATTTATCTTGCAGGAATGTCTGATGAATTCCAAGAGAGAATGGTGAAAAAAGATTTCTCTATATCCCCCAACTTATCATCGGTGACTTACAAGCTGGATGGTCACAATCTCCGTATTTATCCTTGAAGCTCGTGACACTAGTAAGTGCTCCTCCTCTGTTACCTTTAAATGCATTTTCTTCTTAATTAAAAAAAAGTATTTTCTTAGTTTTTTTTTCATATCATATTGGTTTTAATTTTTAATTTCATTATAGTTTTAACTTTGTAAACCTTCTTCCTTTTGATTCTTAAACAATACAATTGAGTTGTTTTATTCTTCATTAGTTTTGTTGCAATATTAACTAACTTTGCTGGTGTGGCAATAAATGTGATTATTTTATAGGAGAATGACATTTAAGGCCTTGAGAGAAATTATCACAATAAGGATCCATTTGTTTTGCATTAGATATCGTCTTGCGAAAACATATGGGTGTTATTGTTAAAAGCTAAACATTAACTTGTTAACTAACAGGTTAACTAATAAGTTAAGGTTCACCTTTTGACAATAACATTTGGTATTTCTTGTTTTCTTTTTTTTATTAATAATAGTTTTTTCCTTTTAAGTTTTATTTTTCTTTGAATTCGGTTTTACTGTTTTTATGAACTAAGTTTATGAACTAAGTTCTACACAGTACAAATCTAACACGCTTAACTCAGTAAAAGATAGACAAGTTTGACAAGTTTAGTAAGTTTAGCCAAGTTTTGCATTTATTTTGAGATTATGAGTAAATTGACATAATTTTATAATTTAGCTAGAAACGTAAAAATTATAAACTCATAAAGTCAACTCGTGAATTTAATCGATTTTGCATCTAGTTGGAGTTTATAAATAAGTTGATATAATTTTATAAGTTAAAAATATACAAACAATAATATTATAGAGTCAATTTAAGATTTTGACAACAATTATTATTGTTAAAAGGGTATCCAACTTGATTCAATCAAAGATTAGTTGTGGTTTAATGTGACTTTTGGAAACCACTGTTATAAAGAGTTGAAATGTGTCATCCCATGTCAATCTTTCTCACGCTTGATGAAGTGACTCTAGGATTTACGCCTCTCATCTAATACATACAACTAATATGCCACATGATAATTAAATTAGATTGTTGATTGGTTAATTTGCTCCAATAAAATGTTATCGCCAAAATCCTAGCTAACCAGCTCAGTTCAGTCCTTTGACTCGTATTTCTAAATATCATTGGGCTTTTATTCTCAATCACCTCATTCAAGACATTATTTAAAAAAAATATATAATAATAAGTATGAATTTGTGATTAAAATGGATATGAATAAGTACTAACCATCTTGAATGGAATTTTCTTAAAGATGTTATGCTCAAAATGTGTTTCTATTCTAATGGATCCAATGAATTATGGCCGCGTGACTAGCTAGTGTACCAAACTTAATATCCAACTCTCCAGTAAAAGAGCAGCTGTTATGGGAAAGTCTGATAAGGAGATCTTCTCTGTCTCCTTATTTGATACCTTATATTTTTGATCACGTTGTAATTCAGTTTTAAACTTTAAATTTATACAATTTAATCTCTATAATTTTGATTTGATTAAAAATCAGTTCTTAAACTTTAATCCAATGTAATTCATTCCCATAGTTTTAGCAAAACAAAAAGTTTGAAAAAAATAAATTTGGTTCGTATAATTTTATTTTTGTAAAATATAATAATTAATATTTTATATGGTTAAAATTATATAGCTTGAATTGTATCGAGTTAAAATTTAAAGATTAAATTTCAACTAAATTAAAATGATAAGAATTAAGCTATACCGACTTAATTTAAGAATTGGGTTTTAAATTAAGTTAAAATTATAATTTTTTTTCAGGCCTTTTCAACTATGGTTTTGACTCATTCTATCAAAGATGATTTGGTAGGTATCAAGATTAGCAGAAGGCAGCCATAGGCTTAGTTAGTAGAAGGCAGCCATAGGCTTAGTCACCTTTATGAATGCAAGTCTTGGAATTGTAGCCCATGCAAAAGTCTGTTGGATGACAACTATCCACGTCTAGTCAGTGGATCAAATGTGATAAATCAAGCATTTTCTTGTCAGCTAATACTATTGAGAATGTTTGAGAGGCGTCTATGTTTTCTCAATATTGAAGGTATTGAAAATCTTCACAAATACTTGGAACTACCTAACTTTGGGGTGGATTTAAAAATAGTGCTCTTGCATTTATGTTAGAGACGAAATGGGTTGTAAAATTTTGGGTTGAAATCAAACTTTTTCTAGAGTAATAGTGAAAATGGGGGCAAGATCAATCGGATAGCTTGGAAACATTTTAATCAACCAAGAATGAGGGAGGTTTATGCTTCAAGGACTTCATGAGATTTAATAAGCCCGGTTAACTAGAAGGGTTAGAGGACAAATTTGTCCTAGAAATTTTTTGCTCGGTACAACTTGCAACATTCTAAATTTTAATCTTTAAGATATTAATGAATTAATCAAGGTTAATTTAGTGAAACTGAGGTGGGAAATGAATTAAGATGGTTAAAGGACCTTTTAGGATGGTTAATGACCTTAGAATGTGGGCTTAAGGTTGAGTAAGAGTGATGTAAGCAAAGAAGGGAGAGAAAATGAAGTGTGTGGTTTTGTACCATGCACTGCGGCATGTGTATGGTTTGTCATGATGCAATGGGCTAAAGTAGAGAGGCAGAACCTTTCTGTGCCACATGCAGCGGTGCATGACTCATTTAAAATTTGAAGTGATTTAAATAACCTCCAATCCAAAATATGCCCTTTTTTTTTTTTTTAAAAAAAATGCCACTTTCTACATTGGACATTTTAAAATTTGGATTTGCAAGAGATCTTGTTTACTTTTTACTACTGTACATTTAAAATTTGGATTTGCAAGAGATCTTACTTGCTTTTCACGGTAAAGAGAGACTTTATATGCTCTCTTTTTATGTTGGTTTTAAGATCGATGTAAAAAGTATTTTTTACAATAATAATATTGAATGTTGTTTTGAGTTTTGATCAATTATACATCAAATTATTTTTTAGGAAAATAGTCAAACTTTGCTATTAAACACTCATTGTTATTCATATGATACTAGTGATTAGTCAAAGTTTTGGCGGAGAACTACTCTTGCCCTTGACCATATATAGGTTTGAATTTAATTTCCAAGTTAACGTAAGACTTGCAAGCTAAGGCTTGTGCACGTGCTCTTCTTTTCCCCCTTTTCATTTCTTCGTCTTGGATCTAGTTTAATTTAGATGGTGTTTAATTAGTCAAGTGTAACTCTAGATCCAATCTGAACTGAAAAATTTAAATATGGAGGGATCCAATATAATCTACTTGCTTGTTTAGTTTTTTATTAGCCAAAAGTCAATTTACCAAAATTTTATTTAGTGAAAATCAATTATTATATTATACCGTACAACTTTCTATTTGTAAGAGTAAAAGCAAACCCACTAAACCATCGGCTGAACCGCCGGTTAAATGTAAACCAAAGGACAAGCAGCATAGTTTGCAAATGGTCTTGCTTATATTCTTCAACTTTTATCTTGCACAAAATTAAAAATATTTGGATCCTAAAAATTTACAAGAGGTCTTGTAAAATTTATTTACTTAATTTACAAACGATCTTGCTGACTTTACAATTGGTCTCCCATGGATTTGCATGAGATCCCGCACAAAGTTAAAAATATTAACTATAAATTCACTAAGATAATGTTTGGATCGATAAATTTAAATTTGAAATTTGTATTTAAAATCTTGCATTTTAAATTCATACATTTAAAATTATTTTTTTAGGTAATTTAACTAACAAAGGTAATTCCTATTATATGTGTAGTGTTTTGAGGGTGCATATATAGATTTAAAATAATAAGGATTTTTAAATGATTTTAAATTATGAAAGAATGAAGATAAAATTTGTATTTGGATCCATAAATTTTTAGGTGCTCAAGTAGGAGATTTGACCCAAATCTAACTCTAAATTCACACACACACACATGTATATGAAAACATAGCACATCCTTAATCGATAAGAGGTTTGACTTAATTGATGATTTCATGATTTACCAGAGACATTGAACAAACATTATTTGGTTCCCAAAAAATTTGCAAGAATTATTGCACAAAGTAGTTCAAAATGTCTAGATCACAAAAATTTTCTCTTTTGATCCTATTTATAGGATAGTGAGAGAAAATTAATTTTAGTTTTATTTATAGGACAGTTTAATTATTATTTTTATATTCATTTTTACCTTTCTATCCTTATTAAATGCTAGTCTTTATTAGGGGTAAAGATAGAAACTTATTAAATTTTAAAAGATAAAGTTAATAAAATTTAAGATTTTTTTTAATTTTAATGAAACGTACTGAAAGTGACTTATAAATAAGATAGTAGAAATTAAAATGTAAGAAATCTTGTGTAATTTATTAATGTTGTGTTTGAATTTAGTGAGATTTGAAATTGGATTTTACCCAAATTTACGTTTTGGATCAATAAAAATCTATGGATTCAAATCAAATCTCCCATCTATCCTAATTATTTTATTATTTTTTTGTAATTTGAAGTCTTCTATATATCCTTATTATTTGAAATGTCAGCCACTCCATCCTCTTGTATTTTTGTTTTTCTCGTTTTAATTTCTCATCTCCCTATTTTTATTGACTATAACAAATAAAATATTTTAAATAGAATATTAGTTTATAACATATTTCGCTTAATTTACAGAGGCTTTTGTGATTTATAAGATGTCCTACTTAAAGTTACTTGTATTCTAAAAATATTGACCCAAAGTGTTATTTGTGGTGGTCTGACCATCTGACTCTAATTTCTTCTTCTTGTTTTGTTTATAATCAACTAATTATATTGTTTTAATTACTCTCTCTGAGGTTAAAAAAAAAACTCTCTCAAATAGATAACATTTTTAATGTGAAAAAAATCTTTGATTAAACATGCGTCCATATTATTAACCTTTTCGTTTAAGTGTCTTTTTTCATTCTGGTAAAAAAATAAAATGTCTTTTTTCATTAAATTGTTATCACGCCATGAGGGACAGTAAATAGATTTAACATCATTCACCGAATGATTACACGGAGGCAATGAAATATACACTTCCTTTCCAGTTCTCCTCCCTCACGTTCACTTCCATCACAACCAATTTACAAAGGCTACAAAAGCTTGTGAAAATGTTCTAATCTTTCCTTCTTCGTCGGATGATTATATTTCTGACATACATGCCATTTTATCTCCACACAAATTCAGGTCTTGGTCTGCTGCAGTCTAATCTAAGGAGATGGCAGAAATTGCAATAAACTGGGTGATTG